CTTCTCAGTAACTTGAGGGAAATATGGTAAGGAAGAGTAATGCGTGATAGTATTCTCAAGATCGGTATTATGCAGAACAGTGCTATTTATAGAATTATTAGAGATGTTTATAAGTTGGTCACCATCGGGTATGTCATAAATTGAGGATCCATAACTATGCGAATAAAGGTATTTATTGATGATAGAGGAAGGATATGAATTCTCTATTAGAATATTTCTCAATAACTTAAAGGATTCCCTTCGATTAATTGGATGTGTCAATTTATTTAATCTAAAGCTTAAAGCTTTTATCAGGTTTAGTTTGTATTTCATAGGATGACAGGAATGGTAGTTAAGGAACCTATTAGAGGCCATTGATTTTCTATACCAACTTGTGGTTAGGGTGTTATCTCCCATTCTGATGACACGCATGTCAAGGAAGGGTATACTATTGGTGGTAGTGTCCTCAAGTTCAACAGTGAACTGTAAATGAGGATCAAACTCATTAAAGTGGGATAGGGTACCCTGAACCTTGTCAGGTGGTAGGGCTAATAATAAATCATCCACATACCTTTTAATAAAAGGGATTTGAAAATCCAAAAGACCCAAACGGTCAGAAACCAAATCATCCAATACAAAGTTAACTAGGATGGGAGAGATTGAGGAACCCATAGGTGTACCAAATGTTTGAAGGTAAAATTTGTCATCAAAGACTAAAAAATTAGTGTCAAACACAAGTTGTAACAGTTCTGCAAATATATCCCAAGACACCGGGCAGTTAGGTTTGATAGAATTCCAATGGTTTTTTAAGGAAGTAATTACACTGGACAAAGGTAAGTTAGTGAAAAGAGATACCACATCAAAACTTACTAAAATGTACCCTTGAGGTAGTTGAAAATTGTTAATAAATTCACTAAAGTTGAAAGAATCAACAATGTTGAGATCATTGTTGTAATTATATGATTTAGACAAGATGTCTGTTAGAAATTTAGCTATTTTAATATTAGGTGAGTTAATAGATGACACAATAGGTCTCATGCTCAACGTAGGTTTATGTATTTTTGGTAAACAGTAGAATCTTGGAGCATATCCATCATAATTATGTAAAGACTTAGCTAAAGGTTGATCTATGATCTTAATGTTTTTTAAATGTGTTATAAATTTATTTATTTTATTTGTGAATTTAGAACAAGGATTAGAAGATAGTGGTTGATAGTATCTATCATCATCTAACAGTGATTTACTCAAACTGAAATATTGATCTTTGTCCATAAGGACAGTAGCATTACCTTTGTCACTCGTAAGAACGAGAAGATTAGGGTGGGTTTTTAAAAACGATACCGTCTCCCTGTAAATCTTATCTAACTCTGATAAGGGTTGCCTAGGGCGTTTAGTGAAATTCAACAAGATGTTGTTCGAAGATGACCTAAGAGATAGAAGGTCGGAATTGTCCGCATGAGACAAAATATTCTCAACATCTGCGAAGATTCTACTAATTGAGTAGTCCTTGAACGAAGGTTGAAGGCCAAATTTAGGACCCAAAGATAACAGCTTAAGTATGTCAGGAGGTTCAGTCAGAAGTAATATTGAGGTTCCTCCTGACATACTTAAGCTGTTATCTTTGGGTCCTAAATTTGGCCTTCAACCTTCGTTCAAGGACTACTCAATTAGTAGAATCTTAGCAGATGTTGAGAATATTTTGTCTCATGCGGACAATTCCGACCTTCTATCTCTTAGGTCATCTTCGAACAACATCTTGTTGAATTTCACTAAACGCCCTAGGCAACCCTTATCAGAGTTAGATAAGATTTACAGGGAGACGGTATCGTTTTTAAAAACCCACCCTAATCTTCTCGTTCTTACGAGTGACAAAGGTAATGCTACTGTCCTTATGGACAAAGATCAATATTTCAGTTTGAGTAAATCACTGTTAGATGATGATAGATACTATCAACCACTATCTTCTAATCCTTGTTCTAAATTCACAAATAAAATAAATAAATTTATAACACATTTAAAAAACATTAAGATCATAGATCAACCTTTAGCTAAGTCTTTACATAATTATGATGGATATGCTCCAAGATTCTACTGTTTACCAAAAATACATAAACCTACGTTGAGCATGAGACCTATTGTGTCATCTATTAACTCACCTAATATTAAAATAGCTAAATTTCTAACAGACATCTTGTCTAAATCATATAATTACAACAATGATTTCAACATTGTTGATTCTTTCAACTTTAGTGAATTTATTAACAATTTTCAACTACCTCAAGGGTACATTTTAGTAAGTTTTGATGTGGTATCTCTTTTCACTAACTTACCTTTGTCCAGTGTAATTACTTCCTTAAAAAACCATTGGAATTCTATCAAACCTAACTGCCCGGTGTCTTGGGATATATTTGCAGAACTGTTACAACTTGTGTTTGACACTAATTTTTTAGTCTTTGATGACAAATTTTACCTTCAAACATTTGGTACACCTATGGGTTCCTCAATCTCTCCCATCCTAGTTAACTTTGTATTGGATGATTTGGTTTCTGACCGTTTGGGTCTTTTGGATTTTCAAATCCCTTTTATTAAAAGGTATGTGGATGATTTATTATTAGCCCTACCACCTGACAAGGTTCAGGGTACCCTATCCCACTTTAATGAGTTTGATCCTCATTTACAGTTCACTGTTGAACTTGAGGACACTACCACCAATAGTATACCCTTCCTTGACATGCGTGTCATCAGAATGGGAGATAACACCCTAACCACAAGTTGGTATAGAAAATCAATGGCCTCTAATAGGTTCCTTAACTACCATTCCTGTCATCCTATGAAATACAAACTAAACCTGATAAAAGCTTTAAGCTTTAGATTAAATAAATTGACACATCCAATTAATCGAAGGGAATCCTTTAAGTTATTGAGAAATATTCTAATAGAGAATTCATATCCTTCCTCTATCATCAATAAATACCTTTATTCGCATAGTTATGGATCCTCAATTTATGACATACCCGATGGTGACCAACTTATAAACATCTCTAATAATTCTATAAATAGCACTGTTCTGCATAATACCGATCTTGAGAATACTATCACGCATTACTCTTCCTTACCATATTTCCCTCAAGTTACTGAGAAGCTTATTAAATTGTATAAACAAAATAATATACCTGTTAAAATTGCTGTTAAGAATGCAAAAACTGTTAGAAATTTGTTCTCTAAAACTAAAACACCCTTGTCCACTTTGGAACAAGTGAACACAATTTATAAAATTCCATGCGCTAATTGCGATCTTTGTTACATTGGGCAATCTGGTAGATCATTGAAAGGTCGTCTCACTTCACATCGTAGCGACATTAACTTATCGAAACACACTTGTGCTCTAGCACAACATGCGATAAATACAAAACATGATGTGGATTTTAATGAAGTTAAGATTCTTGCCACTGAACGCAATCTAGCGAAAAGACAGTTTTTGGAAATGTGTTCAATATTAAAACATCCTAATGCATTGAATAAGAGAACTGACATAAGTAACTTGAGCCAGATATATCATGCTTTAATTTTGCAGAATTAGGCTACTTAATCTTTTCACTACATTAATGTCATATTAGGTGTACTAGTTGAACTTTTTTCCACTTTTCATAAAATAATTTTACATACATAAATAGAAATAAAATAAATAAATATATTAATTAAATAACTTAATTTCTTTACTTAATTTTACTGTTACATATGCAACCCACATTGCATTTCATTACACTAAATTCTTTGATTAGAGTTTTAAATTATATATAAAATAATACAAACATTGTAATTGATTCATAGCATCCTTTACAAATCACAGCTCCAAGTATATTGAACCTTGGGCTGTATGGAAATTTTAATATCGTTAACCACCTGGCTATTTAACTTGCCACATGATTAACGTCATTACATTATTATGAGTTTGAGTGAAAATCTCCGGTTTGTAAATTTGGGCCGGTTAGTGAGGGGAGTTGTGTTTACACTACCAACTTTTTTCACTGTTGTGTCCTTTACAACCTGGTAGTCATCCAGACTCAGTTATAAAATAAAAAATTAAATTAACCGCCCAAAATTCTGGGTTGGTATTTACACCTTGTTGATCTGTCAAAAGTAATTTTGACCTCAAGGTTGGCTGTCTTTTTGCGGTTAGTTCGTTCCTGTTTCATCTAACGCCATTTTCACGGCGACATCCATAAGGCTTTGATCGGTAACTTCATATTCACTATTTTGTAGAATTTTATTAATATTACTTATAATGCTACCTAAAGTTAAAATCAAAGTTTAATATCCATTAAATAGTTGGAGGTTATTTATGATTTTCTTGGTTCTTTCTCACTTATTAACATAAATAACATTGTATTTATTTTGGACCACATGGTCAATTGCTGTGCTAATTTTTGTACAAGTTCATATATGTTGTTAGTTGCTTAACTGTTTATACAAGATCAGCGTACTATGTCCATTTACTTAGTTTCATTCACATATTTGTTAATAACATTGACTGCTACATATCTTTTTAAGGTAACAATTAACATCGTTTCCATGATTGTGTGGTTCTCATATTGTAAAATTTTTTAGATGAACTGATGATGCTTTCAAAACTCGAAAGCGAAACGTCTTCAAAATAGATAAAGTAGCCTATCAACTTTGTCTTTTATTTCTCCACCTAGAGACCGATATAAGAACCCACCACTCGTCTGAGTGATCCTTATATATATATATATATATATATATATATATATATATATATATATATATTATATATATATATATATAACTATTTCGTCAATAGTTTTCTTTCTATGAAAGAGTAGAATGTTGCTTGATTTTAGGTATATACACCTGTTTTATAAACTAGTATAATTTATTTTGTGATTTATGATATACAAACATTGATCAAGTATTTCTAACAGGATATTTAGTTGCTCTTGAATCCCATTATTGATAGCACTGCAATTTGGAGTTTTATTAAAAAAATTTTTATGTATTAGGAAGCCAGCAACCCACCACGAGGACATCAACTCAAATCATCAGATCCACCGAAAAAACCCACCAGCTGGCTAGCAAGATGCACCATACTCTGACCACTTCCCGGAGTTGCTTAAAAACTCAAACACCGCTTATCGTCATAAGCCTACCCAACAACTTACCACTATGCAACTTCAGGTGGGGGTGTGTTTAAAACTGTTTAGACATGCCTGATAAGAGTATACTTACTCTTGTATGACCATTTCTCAGAAAAAAAAAATCAGTATTTTAATCGTTTCATGTATTGTAATTATAATATTATTACATCATATTTTTTTCATTATAACGGAATCAAACTAGATACGAACTGTAGATTATATCCATAATAAATCTTTTTTTTTTTTTCATTATAACGGAATCCAACAATATACGAACTTGTAGTTTATATTCATAATCAAATTATTTCTCTTGCGTATTGTTCAATTTTGTTGTAATATTTATCGGATGACAGCGATTACTCATTAATCTTGCTTTTTTTGTTAATATGACATTTACAAATAATTTAACTACGTTAATCAAATTATAGTTGGACTTTGGAAGCAAAAAAATTGGATAAAACTGCAAATTATTTATACCCAAGTGGAAATCTCACGTCTCTTTCTAGTTATAAAGTTACATTCTTCCACTTTTCAAAAATATATTAGTTCTCAAATTATTTTTTATGGGTAGTATTAGTTCTACCCATACTACAACGAATGTAAAGATCTGCTGTTGATTTTTACAAAAGCTGAAGTTTTGGGACTAACAGTGTAGTAATATGTTCTAAAGTATGTCAATTAATGAAGCTTTGAATAAATACCATTTCGCTTTCGTTCTAAAGAAGTGTTTCTAATACATATCTTGACCTCATCTTGGTACATTCAAAGGATCTTATATGTATTTCTTATGAAAGTATCAATAAATTTATGCAGTAGTTGTTCATTGTCTTATATACGTTCGTTTTCTTATTCTACATTTTTTGCTGCTTACGACCAAGATTCTTGAATATTTAGGACATGTGTACCTTATCCATCGAACAAAAAGACAAGAGGGAATGTAAAGGAAGTGGGGGCAAAAATATTGTTAGACAGAGGTGCCATCTTGAGAGGCCACAATAAATAAGGAAAGAGAGTCTCTTTTCTTGTTTAAATCAAATTTAGTTGGGTTATGTTAGTGTTTATCCCAACTGTCACATGAAATCTTATTTATATTGAAGTTTTTTAACAATTCTGTCGCATTTTAGACTATTATCGTTAATATTTAATTAAAATTTCTCTTGTAAAACACATTTTGAAAAATATTTTATAGCTACTGTTCATAAGTGTCATAAAATTTAAATTTGGCGCATTCGCATTTCCGGATATGTCCGCCATCAGAGGCCACTTTTTTGGTCGTCATTTCATAACGATTAGATTAGATTCCCTCTTTTGTATTTTTGCTCGATCATCTTCCTTGAACTGCGAGCGTATTATACATGAATTTCCTTTTTTTTTTGTTAGTTATTTCATTTTATTAACAAAGGTACGGAAAATGTAATAAATTTTGACAATTTTTCTACCTATTTTCAGAATATGTCCAATCCTGAGACGTGTTAATTTAAAGCTTCCGGTTCTGATAAATAGTTTTGCTAGTGTTCATGTTTACAGTATACTTAGTATTCTAATTCATACGACCACTAAATGTTTTTACTTCTACTGTAGTCTGAACCGGGAATAACATCAATGTTTCTCGTACAAAATAAATTGTGTGTATTCTACTGTCCTCAAAGGTGATAACAAAAAAAATATCAACAAAATGTATTATTTCATTTCCTCACATATCTGCCAAAACTTTATATTATAAATACCATATTTGTGGCTATAAAAAAATCAATTATCAAATTTGGAGAAGAGTATTATTCATACTTCTGAGAAATGGTCCGCACATTAGCAAGCCTACTCTGATATTTATGGTTTTTAAGCATTTTTGGTAATACTTCAAAATGGGAAAATAGGCATGTCGCCTGATTTTGATATTTTTGTGATTAAGGGTAACATTTTACCGATGTATTTATAGGGATATTTATATTTATGCACATTTTTAGTAAAAAATACTTTAGATTTGTTTAGAACGGTTTGAAAGATAGAATTATTTTCTAATTAATTAAAAACTTTTTAAAGCAACAGTTAAATGATTATTTTCGCTTTTTATAAAATGAAGACAACAATTCTAGTTGAATATTGTTTTGACCTGGCCTGTTCGTTTTTGCAGTCTTTCAAATGTCAGTGTGTTTGAATTATTTACGTATATTTATTTATGTATGGTACTACTACGCTACTTTTAGATTTTACTTTAAAAGAACAATCTATGTCTCATTTTTGAATTGTCATTTGTCAAACTACTACAAATTTTACAAGTAAACATTAACAAACATAATAAAAATATGCAACATAAATAATAAAAAATATATTGATAATAATCAGTACAAAGTATTTAATTTTGTCTTAACTTAAATTATTTCACTTTGTTGTATGTAGGGACAAGTAGCTCTTAGGTGGCTGTTTTTGCATCTGGTTCGATTCCCATTACAGATAAAACGAAAAAGTATTGACTTTATTGTATGTAGGGCTAAGTAGCTCGTATGTGAGTGTATCTGCATGTGGTGCGAATGATGACAGTTCGATTCCCAACGACAGACAAAATGAAAAAGCATTGTCAATACGTCTAGAGCAGCTCCTCCGTTTATATATATATATATATATATATATATATATATATATATATATATATATATATATATATATATATATATATATATATATATATATATATATATATATATATATATATATATATATATATATATATATATATGTATGTATATGTATATATGTGTACATAACACACATATATGTATAGAAACGATCTATTCTCAAAGTAAGTACAGCACCAAAAGAAGAATTGTATGTGGCCTCTGATTAATATAGACCGTTTGGTAATTTAAAAAATCATGATGACCAGATTCTTAAGGAGAGTCTTCCCGTTATCTGGATGTCCGTTTTTGTTTATAGAAACAAGAAACCCCAGCAAATATGCAAAAAAATCAAACCGTATTATCGGTAACTACAATATCTCTAAAAGGAAATGGAATTGAAGCTACGAATCTTAAAATAACAAACTTATTAAAATCATTAACAAGAGAAAGTAAATAGTTTCATCACTTGTAAGTACCTGGTGGAAAGGGAGGTTACATCAAAAATTCGACACAAAAAGAATATATTTTAAAAGTAATATATAAAAGCTCGTATGTATGACAAAAGGAGAAAGTTGGTCATCCTAAATCATGGTGAGTAGGTGACACTAGTATAAAATTTTAGTTTGTGAATATGTCATAGATGGTCTGTTTTTGACCAAATAAACTCGTTATAAGAGCAAGCAGCTTAAAAACTTAACAATTTCGTATTATTTTTCGAATTAAAGCATTCGGTGTGTTGAAGCTACTCCGACCAGAAATTTCGGCGAGTATTTTTTACTTTTACTGTATATATGTTTTTTAGAAGTATTTTCCCATAGCAGTTTTTGTTCGCTTTTAAATAAAATTGTAATTATCTGGATATTATTACGGGAATATATTGAAGATTGCAAGGCAAAATGCTTAAATTGTATGTGTTTGTCTGTCGTATTAAAAATGTAATATCACTCCTAAACATACTTTAAACAATATTAGACCAAAAATCTAATTGTGTACACTTTTTCTGCCATTTTGTATCTCAGTTTTCATCTATACCACTTGTGATCTGATGACCACTGATGTGATCTACTGCTGACTTAAGCTTTGTCCTTAGTCTATAATTTTTTAAGGTATCTTCTATGTAAGCTGCCATATCTTCCTGAAGGTAGTTTGCTTTAAAATGCACTGATGGAAATGCCCACATGGTAGTATTTTTTATAGTATAATTTAAATAGTTGCCTTTGTTAAATCAAGACTCTATAGTGGGCATTACTTCATATAACCTTTATAACTGTTTTGTGTCTATATTATTGAAAATATTTTCCATTGGTCATACTTCATAATCTACGCATGAAGAGGAATAACACGGTATGGAGATATTACTTCACTGCTCCAATCGGTCAATTAAGTATTGCCTTGGTATGTTGAAACGTGTCACTACTAAGTTCTCACTAATTAATAATAATAATTTATTTATATTAGAAGGACTTTGGTGAACCAAAATCGAATGCTTACAATTATTATCATACTAGTGGGCTTATCTCTTTGTTTTTTTTATATATTTACGATCTGTTATTAGGCAGAAAAATTATTGATATCTGTTTTATTAACAAGCGGTAGTAATATTAATTTTGGTAGCATAATGCAGATTGTTGGCATAAGAGAGACTTTATATGTTTTAAAACTCTACGTAATACTGAACCATATCATCAACTTCCTGTGAAATAGTCATAATTATCTGCTATTCTACTTATAATTCTATCTTTCAAATCCTCCATTTTGACTAGCCGTATTGATTAGCTTTCAAAAAATTGTTTGACGGATGTTTTTATTTATTGTAAATAAAAAACATTTTCAAGTCGTGATCATTTTCAATCTTAGATAAATGTATAGCTAATAAAAGTTTTATTTTTTTAACTGGGCACTAAATAATCACTTGTAAACTGACCGCGGTGAATTTTCAAACAAGGTTTACTCCCGGTATTTTAATTTTGCCTTGCATAACTCTTGAGATTTTTACATTCCAAAAATTAAGAAGTGTAACTACAAATTGGAGTATTTTGAAAATTCACCTATTTTTATTAATTTCATGAAGTTCCAATTTATTTGAAATTCCATGATTTTAATAAGCCTTGTATTTGGACTTAAAATTTTAATTTAAATTATTGTTAATTTTTATAAGGAGACATAGATTTTGTACATTTATATATTTACATAGACAACACAAATTTTTATCAAGTTTATTACATGCCCTAATTATAGTTTCATAAATGTGTAAATAAATTATATGAACATTTTAAACGGTCTTTTTCTTTATTTATTTTACGTTTCTAGTAAACAAATATATCCCTAATACACCATTTTTCCAAAGTAAAAAATGTGTCACGTAACGATTTATACAAAGTGACGTCACTTGTTTGTAAAATTTCCAGAACATCAACCTTAGAGTTGAATTTTCCCTAACAAAGCAGCTGAAAATACGACATCCTTACGGAGCTGTCCGATCTTTCATAGACGCCAATATGGTATTATAATAAGAAAAATGTAATCGTGATTACATTCAGATATTTAGAATTATATTAAATAAATAAATACATTTCTTATTATTAATAATTTAAATTTTACATGCAACAATGTTTTACCTTTAACTGTTCAAAAAATAAGCATGTTAATTAAATAGATTACACAATCGTACGCCATTGATACGGGAATACTTCACATTTCAATAATATGATGGTGGGGTGCTAAACATGGGACAGTCACAGTACAGTGTTGTCAATACTTTATAACCTTATACCACAGTATAATGAGGTTCCACAGTAGAACCACTCTCCGAAAAATTGTAAGTAAAATCTGTCAACGCGCAGAGCGACTGCGCATATTTCTTAGTCGCTCGAGAACCATTCTTCCGTTGCTAGTCGCGTAGAAACGTACGGGTTAACAGTGCCGTATTTTGCTTAAACTGAGTTAGTTTTGTGAATAATTGTTAGTATTTTGAAGTTGAACATGAGTAAAATTCGAAGTGGTATTAATAATCTTAAACTTCCAAATTTGTTAAATATATCTGCCGATAAACCATATTTTTATCATGAAAATAATAAAATTGTCTTTTCTTTTGATACACCTCATTTATTAAAAGCACTTAGTAATAACTTCCTAAGAAACAAATTTGTTATTGATGATATTATCGTTTCTTGGGAATTTATTAAAATCACATATATCCTAACAATTTTGAAAATATGAAAGTGAAATATGCTTCTCAGATATTTACTAACACTGTTGCTGCCGGTCTGCATCTGTATATTAGATTTAATGTATTCGTCGAGGAAACAACAACAACCGAAAGATTTATTAGGAACATTAATAATTTATTTGATATGCTCAATTCTTCTTCATTAAGAGGAGCAACTGAGTACCAAAGACCGTATAGAGGAACCGATGCTTAGCAAGAATTTCTTAATACGTGTTTCCGATTGTTTAATAATTTACAGGTAATTAATTTTAAAGCTAAAAATGTAACACTAAGAATAAAATATGTTAATGGTTGGAAAATAACCATTAATGGAGTGATTCATTTGTGGAATCTACTACAGTCACATGGAATGGATTAGTTTTTAACAAGGCGGATGAATCAAGATTGGCTAGAAACCTTTTTTGGTTCAATCAGGCAGCAAGGTGGCAATTCTGTTAACCCTACTCCGGTACAATTTACCGCAGCATTCAAAAGATATTTTTGTTTAGACATGATTCATTCCGGTACAGAAAATTGCGAAAGAGATGCAGGTCATATTTTGTTAAATTTAACAGATATATGTACCGACGATTATCTGCCTGAAACCACTGCTTTGGTTCCTGAAAACACTTTGGATGACCAAAAATATCAAACTTCAAATAAATTACAGAAAAACTTCACAAGATATATATGCAGTTATTTAATAAAAAAGTGTCTTAGGAAACAGGTTTGTCTAATCTGTGAAGCATATGAGAGAGAGTACGATGAACTACACGATTCGTCTTTGTTTTGTTACGGTAAAGCCTACAGTGGTAATGAAACAAACGTTTTTGGCAAGCTCTATATGCCGAGCCAAAATTTTGTGCAGTATGTTACAGATTTGGAAATTATTTTTCAAGAGAATTTTCAAAATTTTAGTCATTAACCTAAAATCTTACAAAACTACGTTAGCTTATTCGAAAAAATACCATATACGCATCCTTACAACAATTAATAGAAATTTTAAAGTATCTAAGACAAAAGGACATAGGAAATAAATAATTTGGAAACATAATTAGCTTTAAAACTTGTTGTTTGTTTGGATAACTGCGGACACTAAATCCATTCTCAAATTTTAATTTTTGTTTTTACTTATAAGTCATGTTTTGTAGACAATTTTATCCGTAAACTAATACATTAATTTCTAAAAAATAATCCTTTTTATATTTTTTGATAATTTAGTTAGTTAAGTAATTCATAATTTAGTTTTATAATGTATTTTTTTGATAATTACTTCTTCTATAATATAATAAATTCTTATGCAGCTCTATATTTATTTCAAGAGCTATTTTGCCATATATTGTCCAAGTTACTCATTTTTTTTTAGGAGGAGAATAGTACTCTCTCCAACTATCTGAAATATCTTCTGATTTTATTTGTTCTTGATTTAAAAAAATCTAATAGTGTTCTTTTTCTATTTTGATATAAATTTTTCAACATAATATAACATACATATATTCCTATTCCTGGCGAAGTATTTTTCTTATTCTTAAGACTGATTTCTAATTCATACAACCTAAATGTTACTGAAAGTGGATAATATTGTGTAATGGATAACACTGGACATAATTTTCTTAAAAACGCATCAACTCATTCTCTTTTGATCACTGTATTTACTTATGGTTTAAAAATGGATTTAACTAGACTATCTCCGGCAGACATCGGGAACCTCTTTATACTGTGCTTATACTAAGTCTGTTTACCTATATCTTTGTTTTGATCAATTTGATTCGCAATAAATAAAAATTTTAAAATCACCTAAAAAACGGTATCACAAAAAGACTAAAACTAATACTAATTAATAATTTACTGTTAATACAGAAGAGTTTAATGTTAGTGGTGTCCGTGATGTTATTTATGACATGTAAAAAACAAGTAATAGTATTACATAATAAAAGTTACTGTTTTATTTAGTATACATTTTTATGTGATCTTTTATAATATTACGGAATAAACGTATCTCGTTTTTCACATTA